AATGCAGCACTAAACCAGCTCCAAGGGAGGAAAATTAACTCTGAAATTTGAAAGCAGGACACAAACTCACAATAGTTGCACAATATTTTAGTTAATCTAATGTTTGCAGGGGGGTGCACTATGGCCTTGAAGCCCTGGGTCCTGGTAAGGCTCTTTACTGTTGAGATGTGGCAATAGGAGGAAGATGTAAACCAACAAGCAACTTCTGAAAAGCAGGGTGATGATCTCCAAGTCTCCTATTTGGAGAACCAGTCCAGGGTCTGAGAATATTAATAATAGTAGTAATTTGAATTTTACACAATTTACCATACACACATCAATACTACGCTTCTACTTTTTTATTCCCACTGTATTAGGGATATCAGGAAGCTGGGAAGGCAAAACTAATGGTCACCTCAGACAGCATTTCATTTTGCTTTGTTTTGGACCTGGAACTGTACTCTGCACGTTCCAAACACCAATTTCTGTTGCATTTAAAAGAAACAATACAGGGGAAAAAAACCCCAGAGCTGGACAGTGCATGGATGAGTAGACTTGATTACAGGGCAAGAATTTCCTTTAAGCAGCAGTGGAGTGGTGCCCACACGGAAGCCTGGAGGATATTTGTAAACTGATCACTACATGAAAGTAAGGCAAACACCCAAACTATTAGAAGCAAATTGATGTATTTCACTGTAATGCCTTTGTACCTTGAATATGTGTGAAAGTCTGCAGGATTTGGGAATGGATTTGCATCCATGCATTCAGATAGGACAAATATCACTTGCACAGCATCACACAAAGCTGCAGGGGAAGATTCCTGTCTTGGGCTCACTAAGAAAAGGCCTTACCTTCTTGGCTTTGGAGGAGAGTCTGGGAAGCAACACAAGATGGAAGCAATGAAAGAGGGAATTTTTGCCTAATTTCAAGGCAAATTCCTGGGGCAAGTCAGGTGTGCCAAACCCTATACATTGTATCCACAGGCTCCCTGAAAATTGTGTCCATCCCCGGACCTCTCCTCACCAGAGGGTCTGGGCACTGCAGGGGTGTCCCTAATGGGCTGGGATACAGATTTCCTGGCAGAGTGATGAACCACTGTGGCCTCAAGCAGATGTGGGGATAAAGCTCGGTCAGGGAACAGAGCAGGAGGGAAATCCGATGGATTGTCCCTGCCTTGCTCGGGGCTGGATGGCCTCATGACTTTGCCAAGTGTGTCGCTGAGCCAGTGTGCCCAGGGACAGAACCCTTGGTCCGAGAGGGGAGCCGGGAACTGAAACCAAGCTGAAACTGTGTGAGGCTCGCAGTTTGTTTCTTTAAAAAGCGTCTCTGTGTTATTAGTGGAGTGTTACTCATAACCTCTTCCCTGTAAGTTCTGTGTTCCCTGCTGAACACGACAGCGCGCTCCTAAGCAGCCGAACCACTTGAGGGCAGAACTGCTTCCCTCATGCCGTGCCGGCGTAGGAACGCGGCACAGCATCTCACATTTAACAGGGACGCCCCGTCCGTCGCCATTCCGACGCGGAACCTGCTGCCCTCAGCCAAGAACGGATCACCACCGCCCCGCCATGTTTGGTAGGGGCACGCCGCTCCCCTCCTTCTGAAAGGCGGAGTGGCGTGCCCTTAGCCAAGATGGCGGCAGCGGCGGCACATCCGCCCGCCCCCGCTGAGGCTCCGCCGCCATCTTGGCTGCGGGCAGC